TGACTAAAGAAAATGTTCACTTTGTTTAGTTGTCTTTTGGTGATAGCTAAATGAATAACTAGGATTTTACGTACGTCTTTTCTTTTCATCTCATGTTCAGTCTTTTGTTTTGTCCTTGTAGTAATGAACTTGATGCTCGAAAAACTGCATTTAGCTGACAAAAAAAAATAATATAATTTTTTATTTCTTTTACAAATCCGATAGTATACAAAGAAATTAAGGAAATTATACGAGATAATATCCCACAAAGACATCTTTTCTTTTCATCTCATGTTCAATCTTTTGTTTTGTCCTTGTAGTAATGAACTTGATGCTCGAAAACATGCATTTAGCTGACAAAAAAAAATAATATAGTTTTTTTATTTCTTTTACAAATCTATAGTATACAAAGAAATTAAGGAAATTATACGAAATAATATCCCATAACACCCTATTTAACAAGATAAACTCATGAAAAATTTATTAAGCAAATGAGTTGCTAAATGACTAAAATATCTTTTTTATTTCTCAGAAGTTTTGATGCGATATTATGACGTGACAATTTTTTGTCAAAATTACTATTCATCAGCACATAAAAATGAGTTTCTCTCTCAATGTTTTTTCGTGACACATTATTATCATTATATGCTATTTTTATATACGACATACCATAACATATTAACCATTTTGTTTTGTCACAATATTAACCATATTATTTAAGGAATTATATTCATTCGCGAAATATAGCATGCCATAATTTAAAAATGACATTTCATTAAAAGAAAATCTAATCAAGTTTTTATTATTTCGTTTATGTTTTCTTTCTACAATTTATAATTTCATTATATCAACACATAGCCTGAAAGATATCGTTTAACGTGTTATTTTTCTATATAACTTATTATATCATTCTAGTATAAATTATGTTGTCCACCATATAACCTGTTTTATTTATACAACACTACCATATAACTTGTAATATCATATCCATCATGTTATATGTTATATAAACCGCTATGGCCTGACCCAACTACTACAAAGGCCTAATGCAAAAACATGAAAATGAGCCCTATATAAGGTTAAAAAATGGAAAAAAAAAATTTATTGGACCTCTTTTTTTTCAGCTTAAAAAAAATGAATTGGGTTTTGTGCTCCTATAGCATACACATATATAGTATGATATATGTTTGTATTTTATTTTATTATAACACTATATAAATCATTCAAGTAATTTATGTTTGTTTTTTGATATTTAAATTGTCGTATATGCGGGAAAGGAATCTAATAGTTTTCTTGTATATACAGTATATGATAAGAAGATTTCAATCAAAATTAAATATTAGATCAAACAAATATCAAAATAGAGAATTTTTAATGAAAAAAAATGTTTGGTCATGTCATTTCTATGACAAGACATATTGATTTACTCTGAGTTGATCAGTGGGGAAATTTCGGAAGGAAACATTTCTCTCAAATTTGCTGTTTAATTAATTTTTTTTTGGTATACCAGATTGATTTTTTTTTTGAGAATTTGCATGTGATAACAACCGATAAGTAGCTATTTAAATAAATAACCATGTCACTATTTCATTTATTGTTGGACTTTCTGTATTCCTAAATGACCCCTAATTAACATATATATAATATACAGGCTGGATTAGTATGAGAATGTCTTATTTCATTTATAATTTAAAAGAGTAAACAACAACAAAAAACCACACGAACTGCCATAAAAAAATTATCTCCTTTTTAGTTATATTGTCCTCATTTTGTAATTCTTTCTCAGTGAAACCCTAAAATTGACTCATTGTGGCGAGCGAATTGACTCGGCGAGTTTGTAGATCCTTCTCGCACTTGAAGTTGATTTTTTCCAAGATATTTGGGTTAGATCTAGTAGTCGTATCTATGGTGTTATAGCAGATCTCGTTATTTTATATAATCGAGACCACACGAATTTTTCTCCGGTTGTGTTCTAATTGCTACCAATTTCCGTTAGGATGGAGGTTTTTGAGCTGCCGTCGAGAATTTTTTTTGCAGTTGGTGAAGAGTTTATTGGTGAAAGGGTATCGTCTTACAACATTAAATTGATTGTAAATGCATTTGAAGAAGATGAGCTGAAGTACTTACGGGGAATACCGTTTGGAAAGCTATTTACACTTCAGCATAAGCCGTCTTTTTCTGGTAAATTCCTGAGATATATGATCTCTCGGCAACTTAAAGTCTCCAAAAAC